TGGAGATTAGCCTTTGATTAATCATTTTCTTCCATTAATATTTTATGCATTTATAAAGAAGGGCTTATTCTTTTAATATATGTTATGCTCCAACCAAATAGTTTTCTAAATTTCCTCAATACTCTCATTAACTTTCTCTTGTAATTTACCAAAGCAAAAGAAATAATTATGAGCAAAATTGAAAATTCTCCTACAGAAAAATACTTCAAGTGTTTTGGGAAAACCTTAATTTCTAATTTTGGTGCTTCAACAATAGAAGATATTATAGTTTTAAAATTGGATGGGGTGTCGAATGGCTCAAACTTATCACTAATCACTTTATGAATTGCATCCAATAATAGAGTTGATTCTTCATTGGGATTTTTCACAATTATCCTCAATCACATCCTGCTCTATTGGGCCCATTCCGAAATCTCATGAAATTGACTTCTAACAAACCCCTCCATCACATTTACTCCATAGCAAGTATCATCCATAGGATCTTCAGGAAACTTCATTGATTTCAAAATATTAAAAATACCTTCATGATCAATCACTCATAATAAATTCCCCTTTTGAACATCTATCATTGACTTTCTAGTAACTAAGAAATGTCTATTTAATATGATTGTGATTTCCTTATTTTCCTTCATATCAAAAAACATGAAATCTCCCGGCAAAATAAATCTATCCATCTTAATAAAGATATCTTGTATTGTTCCTTAGGATAAGTAAAAAATCAATCTACTAATTGAAGGGCTATAGTGATAGGTTAAACTTCTCTTAAAAATTAATAAAGACGTGAGATTAATACTAGCTCCAATGTCACGTTAATCTTTCTCAAAGAACTTATTTCTTATGAAACACGTAATTATGAAATTACTCACAATTAATAGAATTTTTAATTTTTTATGAAGATTTTTCTATAGGATAATGCTACACTCTTCAATCAGGGTCACATTCTTATAATCACCTAATTTTTGTTTCTTATTAAGTGTGTTTTTCATGAACACTAAACATTTGTTCTAAAACTTTTGCAAATGGGATATTAATAATTAACGTTTTGAACACATCTAAAAATTTAGAGAAATGTTGGTATGGCTTATGCTTCTAATATTTTTAGGAAATTAGTGGTGGGGGTCTCTCTGATTCTTACCTAGGAGGTGGGGGTGTTTTACTTAAGTTTAATTTTTTCACTAGGTTCTCAGACCACGGTCACCTCTTTTATGCTAGGCTCTTCCCTATTTGCCTCATCTAACTTCTTCCCACTTCTCAACTTTACATGGCTTTACAATGCTCGTTTCCTTATTCTTCGGGATTCACTTTAGCGTTACTAGGCAACGCTTCTTGGGGTTTATTATTTAATAAATTTACTTAACTTCCCCAATATATTTTTAATACTCCTTATGGTTGCAACTTGACTTCACAACTAGTATCCCATTTGTAACATTAATTCTTCCAAAGATAATTTATCTTCAAAATGATTATTAGAAGTGAATCGTGATGGATAAGTCGATCTCGGGTTGAGATTATTTATGTAGTTATTCCAATTGCCAGCAAAATTTCGTTGATTGCTCCCCGTCTTTGATTTCTAACATTTTGGTTGTTATCTCAATTAAAGTTCAGATGATTTCTCCAACAAGAATTGTAAATATTATAATAGAGATTGTCGGGTTTATTGTTTATAGCTTAAATAACTCCAAAATTAGAACACTAAGACTTACCAACTGTTCATAGGCATTTTCTTCAATTACTAGTAATTCTGGTGCAAAATTCAAGCCGAAGTTATCTAATTTCTTAGATATGTTTGCTATGTGTGAAAAAAGAATAAGTTGGATATCTTATTTATGAAGATTGGCTACTCCAACATTAGAACACAAAGACTTACTAACTGTTCATAAGCATTTTCTTCAATTACTAGTAATTCTGGTGCAAAATTCAAGCCGAAGTTATCTAATTTCTTAAATAACTCCAAAATTAGAACACTAAGACTTATTAACTGTTCATAAGCATTTTCTTCAATTACTAGTAATTCTGGTGCAAAATTCAAGCCGAAGTTATCTAATTTCTTAGATATGTTTGATATGTATGAAAAAAGAATAAGTTTGATATCTTATTTATGAATATTGGCTACTCTCCCAAGACTGACTCTCTCAAACCATTGAAATCATTAGTAGCAATTTTATCCATAAGTGCAAATGCCTCCTCAAATGGCATGCTCCAACATTTATTATAAATCTTAATAATCCCACCAATCCATCATAAAAAAATTTATATAATTAACCAATTAAGTACGGAATGGTATGGGCATTTTCTAAAAAACTCCTTAAATCTCTCATAGGTTTTATATATTGATTTACTATCCATCTGAGTGAATGAGATAATATCATTTCTGAGCTTAACTATTTCCTCTCAAAACATGAGAAAAAACTTTTCCTTTTTAAGTGTTTGGCGGCTCCCTCCAAGGTTTGCTTCCTCCTTAAGTGTTCAACCTCTCATTGTCGCGAAGAAGCCCCTCTTAGTAAAAAAAATTGTTATCTTATCATCTGCCCTGGTTGAACCATCAACAAAACCACCAAATCACCCTAAGTCGGTAGGGGTTGCGGCGGCATTAGCTATAAATGCGACGACATTGGCTTGGGTGTTGAGTTTCGTGGCTCAAGGTCATCAAATTAAGGAATTGGCCACAACAACACTTTTGCTTAGTGACGGGGTGCTTGGGTCCCAATGCCGCAATGTCTTGCGCTCTATCTTTTTCAACCGGAAATGGTTATATAGGGCGCTAAGGTGCTTGTCTAGGTAGTGTTGCGACACTGTAGCAATTGGCTTCTCACATATAGATGCCATCTTCTCTGAGTTTTGCATGGAAGTTAGTTGCCTCAAGTGCAGTGGCGCTAACCCACTAACGTAACTCAATTTGTGTTCTAAGTGTTGGATCTTCCTGCATACAAAATATAATACCGCACGTAATCTAGAAATATATAAAAATGACACCAAAAGTATAAAAAACACTGAAAATAATATCATATTTTTCACAATTCAAAAATTCAACACAAACAACCTCCAACTTTCAAAGCAGGCCGACTTTTCTCATTCCTGATGAGAAGATTTCTACACATACTAAGTTCATCATCCTCACATTTATTAGCATGACTCATTCATCATTAGCATGTCATCCAAGGCTCTCCTTAAAGCCAATTATATCAAGTGATCCTCGTCTCAAGAGAGACATACCATATTAATGGGTTTCTTATGCAGATGTTAAAATAATCCCCCACTTTGAATGTCTGTGGAACCTCCTATTGCTTAGTTTGGATTTCATTCCCACAATTTCGGCTTATATATTATTTCAACCAATCTACAATATTCTACCATGCCTCAATTTTTTAAAAGACTCTACAGAGGGATAATGCAACAATTTGTAACATTAGACCCCCTATGGCTAGAGTAAATAAAAAAAATGACATTATTGCTCTATTTCATAAAGATGTGTGATTAAGTCTTCATCATCTAAACATTGGCAGAAGATGAAATTCAAAAATATTCCGTTATATTACCCATTCTGCCTCCTCCATCACATGAATATTGGACATAAACACTCCTATAATTTTAAGGCTCGTCCCAAGCTTAAGAAAATCTCGGATTTAATCACAAGACCCTCTATCTTCTGACATTTCATTGAAAACCCTTCTTCTGTTCAAATATGTTCTCAAAACCTGATGTTTGGTTTGATTTCTACCCAGAAGAGAGTGGTTAAAGATTATGCTCTTAACAGCTTCTTAATATTGATCACTTCATCTACTACTAAAATTATCACTGACAATCTCCTCTTCAAGTTCTGAAAACACATTATTTTGGACTCTCTAGAGGATAGGAGATATTCCTTATGCCAGGAGAAACAAAAATTAGAAGAAAATCTATACTCATTCTCTCATTTTCACTAGTTTGAAGTTAGGCATTCAAAAAAATTTCTCTGTAGTTTTTCTACCGAATTATACTTCCTTTTTCTCTATCAATTTTTGATATATGTCCTTGATGTAATCATGCCATTATATAATTAATATATTATGCTTTATAAGAAAATAAAATAAAAAATAAACTTTAATTGATAACACATCATAACAAAACAGTGTAATTAAAAACATCACATTACAACACGACACAACAATTTTACCAAATAATCATCTATTTATATGATAACATGGCAAATCATAACAATACAATAAAACCAGCACAAAAAAATGATTAGTAGCCTTTCCAAGTGGGGCGCGCACATACAAATAGATAGATAGATAGACACGCACACATGCGTGCACATAATTCCTTCTTTATTCTAAAATTCAACTCTTTAATCAAGTGAAAGACTTGATGAATTTTATGAATGATTAGCCTTGCTCAGTTGAAAGACTGCGCTTCCAAGTGAATGTCTCCTTTCTAACTTCATTTTCCTCTCTATATTCTCCATCAATGTTGTTTTAATCATTGACTTGAAAATGAGATTATGATAGAACCAGTTTGCCACAATCTATATTTTGTAAATTGTGTGTATTTCAATCAAGGTGGCTTTCTTGAGCCTAATTTTAACCTTTAATTTTAATAAAATATCTTATATCTTGGTTTGAATTGATTTCTTTCATGTTTTCCATTTTTACCAAAGAATGCAATACTTATTTTGGAATAATATATTCCGTCCAGCAAATTACTCAACATTTGGTGCATGATTTTTCTCATCTCACAATAAGTTTAAATTAAGATGCTTTGTATCACCATTCATTAAACATTAATTTTACCTACCATCACAATGATGTATTATACTACCATAGTTCTACATAATAACACCACAAAAATATGATTACTCATGAACTTGTCATGTTGGTATTCTTCCAAGCTAATCTAATTGATAGTTAATCCCATGCTAATTATAAAAACACTACGGGAAACCAAATTCCTCAATTATAACAAACAACTGAGTAGAAAAATCATAAAGAAAACATCAAAAGTATGAAAGTCAACAAAAAAGGTTGATGGAAAGTAAACACTTTAGTTACTAAAAGGTACAAGGGCTGATCAAGCCAACTATCATTTTAAATGTTTTTTTAGTTTCATCCCCCCGTTTCTGAAGAGGGGGAGAAAATTGCCATTTTGACCAACTTAACAAAGTAACAGTTCAACAATTAACCCCGGTGAACTACATGAATTATAACCTTATGGCAACTAAAATTTGCTTAATAAAACCAAACATCTAATAAAGAAAGCTTCTTGAAGGGAACTTATATTCCAAAGCCAAAGAGAGCTCTTATCTTATGAAAGATCAGCTCTCTCCATCCCTTCTCTGTGTTCTCGACCACTGTAGAATTCCCAAACCTGTACACCAGATGAAAAAAAAATGATGGGATTTGAACTTTAATTAAAACAAATAAGTTGCAATGTCAAAATATCAATTAGGTAAAAGCAAAAAGGTTCTAGAAAAAAAAAACTAAATAAAAAAAAAGTAAAAGAATCAGGTAATCAAATTGGGCATCTATGGCAGCAAAAGTTGCAAGAAAAGATAAAAACTCACCTATCATCTTGAGGAACTCCAGTCTGAGTTAGCTTGACAATTGCAATACCAGGCTCTGGCTCATCAAAATCAAGCCTTACCTGCACTAAGGAAATGGATCAATCTTGGAACTTAAATATAATTGGCACATTAATCTTCAAATTAACAGCTATATCTTCTCACCGATGAATATATACCATCAACCCAGTTATTGAATCTCCATTTCTGCACAATTAATTTCCCTTCCTGCAACTCCTCGTTTATTCCGGTAATCGACCCATCAAAGAGACTGAATTGACCACCAACCTCCTTGCTGATCATAGCATTGCTCTGAGTGAAGCCTTTCCACCTATTCTCATCCATCAATATCTCATAAATGTCCCTGGCCCTGCAGCTAAACCTCTCAGTCAACTTAATTGTTTTGAATCCCTCCTTCTCCTTCTTCGGCTTCTTTACTGGAATATCGGCTGATTCCTTGCTCGCTGTCAGTGGGACGGCAGCTTTCTTCACAGACGATAAAGGAGGGATTTTCTCCTCCAGCTCGTCCTTGGCCGGGCCACCCTTTGACATAGCCAGCACGTATGACCGGATCTTCTCAAGAACGACGGGCTTTCCTTTCGCAATGAAAGCGTCTTTGATCCGGCGACCGATAGGCCCATCGTCATCACGAACGGTGATTCGGACCTCAGGATCGTCGCCGGCGTTCTCGTCAGCCAGGTAAGGGACCTCAAAGGATCCGGTAAGGCGAAGAAGAGGCTCGGCGTTGCCGTCTACGCTGGAGGAATCGCTGCGTGTCTCCGCTTCGAAGGAGAGGGAGAGGGAGAGTTCGTAGCCGGGGATGACCTTGCCCTTCCGAACGTTGACGTATGCTTCTCCATCAAGCTTGTCCAGAGTTTTGGTGCGGATGAAGATGCCACCCTCTCCGTTGAGGAGGGTGAGGTCGGAGAGAAGGGAAGATAAGAGCGATCGCGACCATTCGAGGCAGTCACGCTCCACCCAATGCCAATTATGCACGTTAGTGCCGTCTGCGCGCTCAGACACGATCCATCGCTTGTCGCCCTCGCCGTACTTCGCCATGGTTGCTAGGGTTTCCGTAAGATTTGAACAAGGGCGTATTGTGTTCGAGAAAATGGCAACAGAGCTGGACTTCGGTTGGCAATGGGTGCTGATGAATAAAAAAGAGCAGCGGATTTCTGGATGCTTCGAACTAGAAAGGTCTGGAAGTTGTTTGGTTTAGAATGTGAGGAGAAAATGCTACATAGTCAAAATTAATCGAATGTGTAACTACTTTATTTAAATAATTTTAAGGTTGAATTTCACGATTATCCTATCCCAAAAAAATGATAATAATAACAATAAATTTAAGCTAAATTTGTTATATATCGGGTTCGAAAGACGCTACACCATGACAACTCAGGACATGAGGAAATGATTTGAACATGTTTTTTATTTTCAAATAACGGCTTACATTACAAATAAAAATGAAATGTAAATTTTATTAATTTTGAAAGTTCAACAATATAACTTGGATTGAAAATAGAAATTTAGCTGAATCAAAATATATTAGACAACATGAAACCACTATCCAGACCCAACAAAGAATATGCGGTAGCTAAAACAAATACTAAAACAAAAAACAAAAAATATAAAACTATAACTGAAAATTTTGCTCCAATGGAGAGAATCTTATTGGTAGTTAAATAGAACTTGTTATGCAAAAATCAAGAATGAGTTTGATAAATCCAATAAATAACAACAATCTATTAAAATATAAACGACAAGGGGAATGCAGAATGCAGTATGAACAACAAGGAGGAATCATTGTGTGTATATACAACACAGTAAGAAAAACAAGAATGGGTGAATATCAAATATATATATATCATACAAAACATACAACTGTCCTCAATCAAATTTCTTATCATTTTGCTTTCATTTGTATTTACATAGACAATTAGTTTCAATAGACACCCTGAAACCGGGAAGGTTGAATACCAACTCAAGAAAACCTGATAATTTCTTGTAGAGTTGTCACTCTATAGGTCAGTCAGCCCAGCAAGCCAAAATCCAAAAGGGTGTTACTGACCTACCATCACACATAAGCATGTCCATTTATTTCAGGGGTATAACTTGTAAGATGTATTTAATTTTACACATGCTTGTGATATAGCGTGAATTCACATGCAGGTTCATAAAATGCAAGAAAAGAAAATTATTATAATTGCATGATTACTCAAATAAATAATAATAAATTAAGATTGTTAGTAATTTCATCATGAACAATAAAATATGCATATAATAAGTGCAACATCATAATTGAAGTAACAAGGGTAGGACTGACAAAATATTATAAATGGATGTGATTCTACTACAATTAAGAAAAAAAACTCTCTTAACTAAGAAAGGTGCATTTATACTCCAATAAACAACAATTACTTACTTTTAGGTGGAAATCGTGATACTTTTACGAATTCAATAGCGTAACAAGATATTGTACGTAATTTAAATAATTATGAAATTAGCCTTATTTATTTACTAAATTAAGTGCAATCAAATCTACCTTTATTATTATCATTATTGTTATTTATTAAATTATTAGTAAAGTATAATAAAAAAAATAATTGTAAGTTAACCTAACAAAATGATATTCAAGCTTATAAATTCTTAAATCTCATTTCTTCTTTGTTTTGTTTGAAATTGTGGGTTATGATAACCCATTGGAACATAGTTTCACGAGATTTAGGGTATGTTTAGGGGTAACTGCAGATTATTTATAATCAATTTATTTATAGATTATCCTGACAATCTGATAATCTGCTGATTGTTCTGATAAGCTGACTGGTTATTTGTAGGATCTTATTTCAGAACAACTTTTTTGTAGTTGTTTATGGCTAAATGATCATTATGCCCCTGTTAAATAATATTGTTTGCAATAGAACTATATGGGCAATATATAATTGATACGACAGAAGCAGAAACCAATACAGAACAATTAAAAAAATAAGATATAATCCCCACTTACACGTGAGTATCAAAATTGATAAAATAAAAAGAAAAACAATTACAAATAAAATAAAAATGATTAAAATATTGATTTTAAAACCCCTATGACATTTGCCATCAGCTGTACTGTCCTTCTGGAAACCATCGGCCCAATGAAAGAAATTTCATCTCACAGAAACGCCCCCTGCGGTAACCGTAGAACTGTCTTCCGTAGTTGTGATTTTCTTAATCTATGTTTTTATGCATAATATTTAGTTTTCAAATGTATAAGTGCATATATTCATAACACTTAAATTCCATTGTATTTGCATTCATAACACCTAAAATTCACTTGCCATGCATGCAAGTTTTCTCGTTCCCACATATTTATATGTACAAACAATTAATTTTAAATACAGCTGTTTTCCTCGAGCCTTATGTGTTCACATGCACAATACTTGAATCCAAATGCACATTTTCTTATTTTCCCAAATCCTTAACGTATTTACACACGTAACACCTAAAATCTAAATATATGATACTTACAGATTTTGCATAATCCAATGTATTTACATACTTGACACTTAATTGAAAAGTGTAATTTTCAGATTTTCATAATATTTACATATATAAGACTTAATTTAAATGTATCAGTTTCAGATTTCTAGTATTTCACATATATAGCACCTAAGCTTTAAATTAATTTTATAGGTTAATTAAGTTCTCAAGTTTTTACATATATAGTACATAAACAATAACATATATGCGCAGATATCTTAATCCTTGAGTATTTACATATGTTATATTTGAATTCCAAATGAAATTTGTTGATTTTCTTCAATTCTTATATATTTACATATGTAACACGTAATTCTGAAATATGCCCATGCATTATATATATTACACTTTAACTTTAAGATGTATACATGTTTAATTCTTGTATGTTCATGTATATATCATATGAACTTAGAAATCTGTATACGAGATTGTCTAATTCTTACATATTTACATATATAAACTTTAAAAGCAAGTATTTACATATCTAACACCAAAATTTAAATGTGAAGCCACAGATCTCTTAAATCCTTAAGTATTTACATGCGTAGCACTTGAAATCGTATTCTGAATCTGAGATTTTGTCGAATTTTCATCGTATTTACATATCCGATACTTGAAATCATATGGGAAATTTCAGATTTTCTGTATTTTCATGTATTTACATATCTAACATTTAAATTTAAACATAAAGCTTCAAATTTTGTAATCTTCTGATTATAAGAATGAGTTTTACTTGCATTTAGCAG